CAACTTCAAAGAGTACACATGATGCCCAACCAGTGCACGCGAATTTGCCCTGTACCGGATGGAAACGCTGCACCCGAGGTCTTTTTCCCAGCCTTTCGCACCCCCGATACAAGCGCGTCGCATGGTTATAGACCAATAGTAACGAACAGACTGAAGTCAAACTGAAGATACTGAAGTCAAAATGTCAACGGATAAGGTTATAGATACTTAATATAAGCGCCTGCGAATCCTTTTTAGCTAGCTGCGAATTGACGAAACTTATGCAAAGGTGCGGTTGCTGTCTCTACCAGGACTGTTCGCTGGGGGAGAATTGGTGCCGCTACGCGGGGTAAGGGCCGCACTATCCAAGGCGAAAGGGCGTTCTTGGAGACAAGCGGAGTGGGAGGACGTGTGGGGAAAAAAGATTGACTGGCGGAAGGTCATTGAGACCAGAGACTCGATAAATGTACCGGGCAAGGCGAGGGACGTCCTACTAAGGGTTCACAGCATGAACCTGCAGGTTGGGGGGAGGCTGGGTTTCTTCCAGAACAAGATAGCATGTGTGCACTGTGGAGAGGAGGAAACCCTAGCACATTGTCTCTACAGCTGCCCGGTCATACAACCGATCATTGGCGCGCTGAAGCGGACGTTGCACATGCTGAACCCGGGCAGGTCGGTGGACTGTCTGGGGGACCTACTGTTTGGCGAAAAGGGCACAGCGTCAGGTTTTCCGGAGATGACGCTGACATCAGTGGTGCTTAGGCAGATCTGGTTGGCGCGATGCAATGGCAGTTTGGCGCGCAGCTCCTTTCGAGAGAAAGAAGGTGGGGAGATGTGCTGTGCTGGACTTCATGACGCATGCGAGGGTGGTGCTTGGCAGCAAGGGGAAGGCTGGCAGCGGCCGATGAAGGGAGAAGTTTCTGAGAGACAGACAACTGGAGCCATGTGGCTGCGGATGAGAAGTTGCAGCTCAGAAGATTTTGCCAGTGATGGTGGGCCAACAATTTGGGCGGCTCCTTTCCTCTCCATCTGGCGCAACCCGCGCACTTTCTATCAGCCTCCGTAGCATGCCCATAGGGGGGCGGTGTGCGGCGTCCACAAGGCGTGGGCCTAGACCCTCCAAGATATTAACAGTTACGACTGCGGATTGTATCTATATATTGATAATATATTTACACCTCCAAAAAAAAAAAAAAAAAAACTTTTTGCGAGATGACGTATCAGCTTATACGCCCCCTTCACAAGGCAACCGGGGAAGGGCTCAAACAGGCATCAATTGTACACACAATAGCACAGTGTTAGAACCTCGCCACAGTAGCACTTGTGGACACTACAGTAGCTTTCTGGGACACATCTCACATCCGAGTCATCCGAGTCATCTCCCATTTCCCTCCCGGTTTAAAACACTCGCTGTCAGGTTTGCCGCGCTGTGCCTCCAGTAGACAAGGCACGCTGCAGCATCGCTGCCAGCCGAACCATCACGAAAGATTCACCTTCCGTTTGCTTGCCAGAGCTGCACATTGCACTGTACATACAGCACTTGAAGACGGTGTGCCACATGGAACGCAAAATTCCCGCGTTGGAGATCAAGTCCACGGAGGCTGGGTGGGTAAGTGTGGGACGTTTTGAAAAGGGTAGGTATCCCCAGCACTACCAGACCGGAGTCTTTCGAGACTGTAAGGACGTGTCATGGTTCGCCTACGATTGCCTCGATCAGAGCGATCAATAAATTCGGGGAAGCTAGGGTGGCGATTTCAGGCAATCGGGGGCAATCACTTGATCGCGATCAAGCTGATCGCCCCAACTCGATCAACCGCCTAAATAAGCCCAATCAAGCACAACCCACACAATCACCGACGATCAGTTGATTGCATTGGCTTGGGGTACCAAGCGACGCTAACGAAAAGTTACCAGTACTGTGCCAAATTTCGTTTGGCTATGGACGGCCAAACTAAGCCCCCACATGGACGGCATGCCATTCGGGAGCCTCAACCCTTAAATTTTAGGGTTTAGGCTTCCCGAATGGCATGCCCGGGGTCGTTATGGGTTTTGGTTTTTTTCTGCCCGGGTCAGGGTGACGCTCCTCCCGAAAGCCAATAGTGGCTGTGGATTCACAGCCACTAGTTGAACGTTCCTCATGGGACCTGGCTGAATCTTCCACGCTGCTGTTTGCTCTTTTGTGCAAGTACAGTTCATGGAACTGTATAAAGTATGAACCACAAGTATTTCGGTAACTTTTGCCTAAGGCACTCCCCGACAGGTACACTTCGAATTCTAAAAAGGAGGTGCAAGCCTTACGATTAGTCTACTTGTGCAAAGGTCATCTGATGCTACGTAACAAAAGCGTACAAATTACAGTGGTTCAAGTGTGTTTGATGCTATATAGTGGCTGCATTAAAAGTGATCGATTATTTTTTTCCACAAGCTCACTTACAGGTACAAATGACCTACCTACCGGTACCATATTTCCACCACAGATAGCGTAACATATGATTTTATGCTATTTACTCCCAAACCATGTCACCCAAAAACGGTTTTATGCACGCTTTCAAGACAGAAAAATACAATCAACTTCTTTACTATGCATCCTATCTCTAGGCAAATACGGTACAGAGTGCAATGCAACGCCATACCAACAGCAAGCTAGAAACATACGCGTAAGATAAAACCACATTTTCAGGTTGAGGCAGGAAAAACATTGAGAACTACCTTTGTCAGACAGGATGCATGCAATGGGGAAAAGATGGGAAACGCATGGCTGCCTGGACTGAATACACATCATGTACCCAACCAGTTGTGACAGGTTTGCTAAATTCTGCCACATTGTCTCCCTTCATGACCATCCCTCATGCTAAGTTCTGTACACTTTTATGACCTGTTCTTCAGTTCTGCCAATCGCCTTGTCAAGTCGTCCTCAGCATTGGTCTGAGCTTCTCTGGATGGCAAAGCACTCGTGGCAGCACTGGTAGGCCAATCTGCACCTCCAATCCATGTTCGTCTGCCCACCTGAGATATTTTTTTTGAAAGAATAGGGATTGGCAAATGACAGTTGAGGTGCAACTAAGCTCTATTAGATGACAATGTGCATGAGTGGAAGCCCCAAAAGACATTTTGTTGTGAAAAACAATTAGAGGCAGCACGAGCTTATCCGCACCAGCAAGCTCAAGCAACATTGCACAAGAAAGGTGTAAGGAAAAAAGTGGGATATGCACATGGATGGAAAGCAACAACTCTAAATAGTCCAGTTGATTAACTATGGCCACTCCAATATCTTGTGTTGAGACGCCTACATATATGAAGTTGATTAAGTTTTACTGACCTGTTACATAAATGTGTTGACGTCCCCCTCCAGTGTTGAGGGTTGAGGTGCCTCAGACGCAGAGAACGGCAAACTCTGGCACAAATTCTGACTGAAATCCAGGACGGAAAAAAACCAAACTGACCTGTTGCATGAGCATGTTGACGTCCTCCTCGGGCGTCGACAGCGCCGTGCTGCTGTGCATCGCGTTCTCCACGAACTGCGACTGCACCTCCATGTTCACAAATTGCCGCTCGAACACGTCCATCGTCTCCGAAATCTTCTGCAGGTTGCTGCTCGCGAGCGCGGAATCCAGAACCTTCACAATGCTTCCCATGGAAGTCGTGATGGTGTTCATCCGGGCTTGGGTATCCAGACGCGCGATAACCGCGTCTAAGCGGTTGGATAAGCGGAGGTAGTTCAGCTGCTCGGAGCGCTTCCGGATGGCGTTTTGAGCGTAAATCTTGCCGCCTTCCATGTTGCCCTTTTCGATGGCTTTTTTTACCTTAAGCTTCTGCTCCTTCTCTTCTTTCTCGCACTTCTTCGCTTGACGGACTAGCGTCTTCGACGTGAACTTAAGCTGGAAAATCTGGTCCATGAGCTTCTCTTGGTTCCCCATGGCTACCGATACCGTATAACTAGGCTTAGCTCTCAATGAAAAAGATACAAGCGCAACAGCTAGTTCGCGAGCTTAAGCGAGAGGTTAGGAGAGCAAAGGATTTTGGCGCAAGCCAAAATGCCAAGAAAGGGTCGCGTAAAAGAGTCGCTACACGCGAGTCGTAAATTAAGTTCGGAACTGGATGTGTCGGCAAGAAGCAAGAGTGACGCTACACGCGCAAACACGAAGGGGGGGGGCAGGTATAACGCGGAGTGGCCTTCAGTGGAATGGAGTGAAATGGATGAATGGATGGATGTGGTCCTCCAACTTTTTGCCCCCCCCCCACAGCGGAAGCTGGAGGAAGGCGAAGCGAAGGCGGACAATGGAGTGCACTGCACAACCGAGAGGGTCCGCGCTATAAGACGAAGGCACTGGAGCCTTGGAATTTTCGGCCATAGAAGGGAAGCCTCATACATGCTATTTACACCCAGCTCAACACAACACATGATACACCACAGCTGGCTTTCTAACCAGACATTTGAGAAACTAGCCATTGGAGTAAGCGCTTTACCTCAGAAAGCACCAGTTAATATGCATAAATGCTATACAGTGAATGGAGCCGTAATCATCTACGACCCGCCATACCACCCCTTTTTCATATGCGGCCAAACGACCTTGTGAAGAGAGTCTAACACCTGGAGGAAGGTAGGCAAAGCCCTGTGAAAAAAAGAAGACACAGCAAGTGTTGGAAGGATTTGAAAGTTGCACGAGGGTGGAGATTTGCACTGGGAACCCACACAAGGAAAACGGAAAATGCAGACATGCAACAACACTAGTGGATACAAGCAAAACACATTGGGAGTGGGAGTTGGGGAGAGAGAGATAGGACAAGGAACAGAACGAGAAAGCCTGTGGAATAAAAACACTTGATATGTTCGCCTTTCCAGCCCCTGATTACGTGCTGTACTGTACGGCTGCTGACATGGCACCTCACCTGCTGTATGGCTTGTGACATGGCAGCGACAGCAGTGCAGCGAGCGTCCTCGTCAGCCATGGTCTTCTCCCAAGGCACCTTGGACAGGTCAGCTGCTGACGTGGCAAGCATGTCCAACCCTGATTGGTTTGCTAGGAGCAGCTCTGGCGATGCCTGTGGGCGGACCAACGGGGAGGCATGGGAAGCGGCAGGTATGGGAAAGGCAGGGATGGGAAGGGGCAGGGATGGGAAAAGGCAGGGATGGGAGAAGGGCAGGTTAGGAGGCTATCAGAATATGGTTGAGGGAAGCGCAGGCGAGGTGGGGCAAGTGAGAAGTGGAGTGAGAAGGATAACTGAGGCGAGGTTCTTGCGGCGGGGGGGGGGGGGGGGGGGGGGGGGGGGGTGGGGGTGGGGGGGAGAGGTTTGAAGGTGAGAGGGGGTGATTCTGGCAAATGGGGGAAGTTTTGATGGGTGAGAAACGTACCCGCCAGGCGATGCAAATGATGGCATCCCGGTGCTCCCACTACACCCTCAGCAGCGAGGGGGGCCGAGAAAGGTTTGAGAGAGGGAGAGAACGAGACAGCAGAAGAGGGAACTAAGGCGTACCCGCCAAGCGATGCATATGATGGTGTACCCGCCAAGCGATGCATATGATGGCGTCACGATGCCCCCACAACACTCTCAGCAGGCGATATGAGAGGGCGAGCGAGGAAGCGAGAGAGGCTCTAGAGTGGATGCTAAAAGTGAAATGTACCCGCCAGGCGATGCAAATGATGGCGTCGCGGTGCTCCCACAACACTCTCAGCAGGCGTGACAAGTCCCCCCCTGCTAGCGCTGCCCCTGCTGCTGGCGACAGGTGTGACCCCACTGCCACCCTGCCATGGTGGGGAAGGGAAGGACAAGGGGAGAGGGAGGAGGGGGGGGGAGAGGGAGGACGGGGGGGGAGAGGGAGGACGGGGGGGGAGAGGGAGGACGGGGGGGGAGAGGGACGGAGGAAAGGGGAGGGGGGGGGGGAGGGGGGAAGTGTGGAGAAATGATGGATGTAGGAGCAGACTGTTTCTGCTGCAGCGGACAGTCCAACCCCACGGCCACTCAGACATGGTGAAGGAGAGAGGAGGGTGGGGGGAGATGGGTAAATGGTGGGACGGCGGAACGTTATGAAGGGGAGTGATGGGCGGAACAGCGGACGCAACAACACATGCGCGTGACTTGGAGAGCGTTGAAGAGCCGCGTCACACAGGAAAGATAGACGTTGAAAGCAGACGGGAATTGATGGATGAACAGGCTGGCAGGCGGGCGGGCGGGCGGGCGGGCGGGCATGAAGGCGGATGGACAGACAGGCAGAGAGATGAAGAGACAGAGAGAGAAGCCATAAGGCACGCACTTGTAGCTCTGAACGATCCATCTTGCCAGTTGCATCGCATGCGAGCCGCCTCCCCCTCCTCCCCCTCCCCCACCACCGCCGTTGCCGCCGCCGCCACTCGAAGTCGGGCCTCCAATGCTACCTCCCCCGCCTCCCCCTCCCCCTGCTCCTCCCCCTCCCCCAAATCCTCCGCCCACTCCCCTCCCCAGAGAACCCAGGCCCCCAAGAACCATAGAATCGCCTAACCCTCTCCCATTCTCCCCAACCCCTCCTCCCGCTCCTGGCCCCCCTCCCCCCATTCCTCCCCCTTTCACCTCTCCCAACCCTCCCCCGATCCCCATTCCCATGCCTATCACCCCCAATGCAGCCGAACCCTCCCCACCCAGACGGTTAGGCCCGGAGCCGTCCCCAACCACGCGGCTAGGTCCGGAAACATCCCCCGCACCTCCCGCCAGGGCTGCTACAGCACCACTGGGAGATCGGGCGGCAGAGGCTGTAGCGACTGTAGCTGCGCCAGATGCAGACGGATGGAGCCGTCCGGCCATGCTGGGCATGCCGGGCGGCCCGAGCGTCAGGAGATCTAAGATTCCCTGCTGCTGCCGCTGCAGCTGCAGCGTTATTAGCCGCTGCTGCATTAGCTGCAGCAGCTGCAGCGGTTTGAAAAGAACCAGCAGCAGCAGTAGAGGGGAGAGGGACAGGTGGGGAGCGATTGGGATCAAGAGATCCCACTCCCATTCCTAACCCCCCCAGCACTCCTTGATTCATCAGGCCTCCCTGCCCGTTCAAACCGCCCACTCCTTGCCCGTTCATGTTGCCAAAAGAACCAATACCGAGGCCAGATGCCAAGGCCGAAAACGCTGCAGCACCCGTGGCACCAGCAGCAGCGGCGGCGGTGGCAGCAGTGGTGGTGGGGGCAGCAGAGGAGGAGGAGGGTCCTGCAAGCAATGCTGCATTCATCCCTGCAGGAAAGCCTCCTGGGAATCCCGATGTGTTTAGACCAGAGGCGTTGAGACCGGAGGGCGTGTTGGATTGTAACCCTCCAAATCCGGGGGTATTGGAATAAAGCCCCCCGAGACCGGGGATGTTGAGACCAGCAAGGGAAGCACCAGGGAACCCTAGGGCCCCACTGTTCGTACCTGCTGCTGCAGCAGCCGCAGCGGCAGCAGCAGCAGCTGGGTTTGAATTCAGCCCCAGGCTTGAACCCGCTCCTTGACTCCCCATTCCTGTTGCTCCCTGCCCGCCGGTTGAAAGCCCGGGCAGGCCGAGATTTCCCAGCTGCCCGAAATTGAAGAAATTAGACGAGGCATGCAGTGATTGTTGGTTCAAAGGCGTGGCTGCAGCGGCAGCGGCAGCAGCAGCAGCGGAAGGGGCAGTGAGGGAGGAAGGCAGGCCAGTGAAAGCAGCAGCGGCGGCAGCGGCAGCCACAGCAGCAGAGGTAGCAGCAGGATTAGAGGCTGATGTGGTTGCCCCTGGCAGTTGTGAGAGGGCAGATTGGAACTGCATTTGAGGCCCGTCTACCTGCATCATCATCATCATCTGCTGCTGCTGTTGCTGTTGCTGCTGCTGCAGCAGTTGCTGCATCTGCTGTTGCTGCTGCTGCTGCTGTTGCTGCTGCTGTTGCTGTTGCTGTTGCTGTTGTTGCTGCTGTTGTTGCTGCTGTTGTTGCTGCTGTTGCTGCTGCTGTTGCTGCATCTGCTGCATCATCTGCAGCGGCTGCTGCTGCTGCTGCGGGGGGGAAAGGCTCATGGAGATGCGCTGAATGGCCCCCACCACTGACCGCACATACTGCCTGGCAGTGTTGGCCACCCCCTCCTTGGCTGCCGGGCAGTCAAACACGAACTGGAAGGCGATGGTGAGCACTGATCGCAGCTGCTGCTGCTGGGACGGCTGCGACTGCTTGTCTAATGATGCTGCCAGGTCTAGCGTTTGCCCGTCCTGCGATGATTGTGGGAGTACGGGGGGAGGAAATGGGGTGGGGGAGAGGAAAGGAAAGAGAGGGAGTGAGAGAGGAGAGACTGACGGGAGGGGAGGGGAAGGGCAGTGAAACACGAACTGGAATGCAATGGTCGGCACTGAGCGCAGCTGCTGCTGCTGGGACGGCTGCGACTGCTTGTCCAGTGATGCTGCCAGGTCTAGGGTTTGCCCGTCCTGCGATGATTGGATTGGGAGGTTGAGCAGGTAAGGGGTTTGGCAATTCTTAGTCGAGTTACGAATGAGTGCAGCAGCAGCTGCTGCATTGACCCAAAAAGAACAAAACTGGGAGGGTAGAAGTGACCCACACGTTATCTACCTGGGAGGGTGGCAATGAGAGCGGGTGACTCGGAAGCCAGATGGCAGGAGAGGCACAGTGTCGGCTGTGGAAGCTGCGTCCACAGGGTGTGAAGAGCTGTGAGCCGCGGAAGAGGAAATACCAACCTGGGAGGGTGGCAGTGAGAGCGGGATGACTCGGAAGCCAGATGGCAGCAGCGGAACGGTGTCAGCCGTGGAAGCTGCATCCACGGGGGCAAAGACCAGCTGAGCTGTCGCACTGTGCGGCGGCGCTGACGTGGCGGATGATGCTGACATGGAGCCTGACGTGCTGTCGTCCTCGATGCCGCTGCAGAGCTGCGATATCACATGGGAAAACGGGGGAGAGGGGAGGGGGAGAGGAAGAGAGAAGAGGGGAGGGGGGATGGGGAGGGGAGAACAAGTGGAAGCGGGGAGGAGGGAGGGGGAGTAGGGAGGAGCGGCAAGAAGGGAGGGTAGGTAGGAAAGCGGGGTGGGTGGGGCGAAGAGTGAGGGGAACGGGGAGAAGCAAAACGGAATAGAGAAGAGAAAGAGAGTGCGGCTGAAAAGCGGGAAAGGGGGAGAGGAGGAGACTGGCACAGTTGTGGGGGGAAGGGATGTGGGAGTGGGTGCAGGCAAGGAGAGGCAAAGGTGGATACTGATGCATGAGCTGATGCTGATGATGATGCATGCTCATGCTGATGCTGATGCTGATGCTGATGCTGTAGCTGATGCTAGTGCTGATGCTAATGCTGATGCTGATGCATGCTGATGCTGATGCATGCTGATGCTGTTGCTGATGCTGATGCTGCTGCTCATGCTCATGCTCATGCTCATGCTGACGCTGATGCTGATGCTGATACTGATACTGATGCTGATGCATGCTGATGCTGATGCTGATGCATGCGCTGATGCTGATGCTGATGCTGATGCTGATGCTGATGCATGCTGATGCTGATGCTGATGCTGAAGCTGATGCTGATGCTGATGCATGCTGATGCTGATGCTGATGCATGCTGATGCTGATGCATGCGCTGATGCTGATGCATGCGCTGATGCTGATGCATGCTGATGCTGATGCTGATGCTGATGCAATCGTTTAGCGAGAGTAAAAACGACTCTGTTACCCCACCCGCAGCACCCACCCACCCGCAGCACCCACCCACCAACACCTTTAGGAAAGGCCTCACCTGCAGCAGAAACGTTTCTCTCGCTCCTGCCATCCCTCGTGTGGCAGCAGCTGGCTCGAGCTTCACGAGCTCGAGAAACTGATGAGGGGACAGTGCGGACAGCAGGGAGGGGAGGGCAGGGGAGGGGTGCGTGCAGGGAGTGGGGGAAGAGGGAGCACGAGTAAGTGAGAGCCATCCCCCGTGTGGCAGCAGCTGGCTCGAGCTTTACCAGCTGCTGACAGTGGGGGAAGATGATGGGGGTGTGTGGGGGAAGATGATGGGCGAATGGTCCGCGTGCGCGCCTTGGTCCGCGCGCGCGGAGGGATGAGCAAAGAACCGAACAGGTTTTGATTTTTTAGCTTAAATTGTTTGCCCGAACGTGTTCGAGGTTTGCCCGAACACGCCTTCACAGGCGAACGGCGAACACCCTTTTTTGGGAAAGTCGTTCGGCGAACCGAACATGCAAGGGCGAACGCGAACATGTTCGCGTTTGCCCTTTGCTCAACCCTACCTTGGTCCTCTTCCTTATCAACAGCATAGGCGAGTGGCAGAGGCACGTTCCCAGTCCCTCCAGCAGCAGCAGCGCGAGCACCCATGGTGGCCTGCTCTGCCGCTGCTGAACCCATCATACCAGCCAGCCCACCCGCTCTCTCTCTCTCTCACACACACACACATGATCGCACCTCTTCCTGATCCACAGCATAGGTGAGGTGCGGAGGCACTTTCCCCGCGCCAGCAGCAGCAGCGCGAGCACCCATGGTGGCCTGCACCGCTGCTGCTGAGTCCGCCTACCTCCTCCTACCCACCCACCCACCCACCCACTCCGTACTCACCTCCTCCTGGTCAACAGCATAGGCGAGTGGCAGAGGCACTTTGCCGGCGCCGGCAGCAGCAGCGCGGGCACCCATGGTCGCCTGCACGGCTGCTGCTGAGTCGGCGTCTATCGTGCCGTCTGCCCACTCGGAGCGATGGTGACGCAGGAACTTGATCAGCAGCACTGGGGAGACGTTCTGAGAAAGGGGGAGGGGGGTGTAGGGGTGGAGGGGGGGTTGAGGGGAGTGGGGGAAGAAAAGAGTTCATTGGATGAAGGGCTGAATCGGCATCTATAGTGCCATCTGCCCACTCAGAGCGATGGTGGCGCAGGAACTTGCGCAGGAGCACCGGGGACACGTTCTGGGGAGGGGTGAGGGGTCGGGGAGGGGTGTAGACGCAGAGTAGGGGCGGGAGAGAAGGGAGAAGGAACGAGGGGCTAAGTCAGGCGAATGGTGCTGTCAGCCCACTTGAAGCGATGGTGACGCAGGAACTTGATTAGCAGCACTGGGGACACGTTCTGAAGAGGTGGGCCGTGGAGGGGTGGGGTGGGCAGGGAAAAGGGGAAGAGTGAGAGCATCAGGGCTTGAGGACATGCCAGTACGAGGAAAGAAATAATAAGTGAATACTACAGCAGCACCCACCCAGCAGCATGGATGGATGCCTTGGCGCACAGCACTCCCCCGCCCACAGGCCCAGACGCATCTCCCCCTCCCCCCATCCCCCCAAATTTGGGGCGAAGACAAAGGGACCACACCATTTCTCCCCTCCCCCCACCCCCCCTATTTCTTGGTCGCCTAACAAGCTCTCCCATTTCCCACCAACCTGCAGCAGCATGGATGCCTTGGCGCACAGCACTCCCCCGCCCACAGGCCCAGGCGCATCTCCCCCTCCCCCCATCCCCCCTGCGGCCTTCCCCCCGGCGCCCGTGGCTCTGGCAGCAAGGGTGACGTCATCCATGCCGTCTCCTTGCATCTGCTCCCACCCGTCGTCTGTGAACCCATTCACCGCCTCGTTGAATCCCCTGGAGGGAGTAGGGAGAGGAATGAAAGATGTGAAAGGAAGAGCGATGAGAGGAGGGGCAAGAGATGCCCTCACCAGGCATCTGCTCCCACCCATCGTCTGTAAACCCATTCACTGCCTCGTTGAATCCCCTGCATAAGAAGAGGAAGCGGGGAGGGGGGAGAAAGGCGGATTGGTAGGCTGTGACTGGAGGGGAGAGAGCGGGATGGTGGGGCCAAAAGTTACGACGCAGCAACTTGTACTATGCACCTGTACTCATGCCTTGACGCAACCTCCTCCCACTCACATGGCAATGCGCTCTGCGATCGCGCGCCACGCTGTGAGCTGCCGGTCCTGCCGCCGCCCCGACTTCGGCCTGCTGCCTGGCCCCCCCCGCACCTGTCCAGCCTCTCATTTCACTCCCATAAACACTCTCACACGGCAATACTCGCCAAGCCATGAGCTGCCTGCCGCTCTCCCCACCACCCACCCCTTCCTGCTCTCACCTCACTCCCATAAACATTCGTTTCATCCCACTCACATGGCGATGCGCTCTGCGATCGCGCGCCACGCTGTCAGCTGCCGGTCCTGCGGCCGCCCCGACTCAGCCCTGCTGCCCGCCGCCCCGCCCTCCCCGCTGGTGGCCTCACCACCGCCCCCTCCCGACCCCTCGTTGGCCACCTTGCGCAGGTAGCGCAGGGCCTCTATGGTCATTCGGTGTGCCAGCGCTGCTGACGACTGGTACAGCGGCCGCAGCACCTCTGGTACACTGGACGCCTGGTGGGAGGGAAGTGGAGCGGGAGAGGAAGCAGGAGAGGGAGGAGAGCGGGAGAGGGAGGTGGTGGGGAGAGGGAGGAGTGGGGCTTTCAGAAGGGGCTACAGGTGGCCTCGCTGGTGGCGTCGCCCCCGCCTCCCGACCCCTCGTTGGCCACCTTGCGGAGGTAGCGCAGGGCCTCGATGGTCATTCGGTGTGCCAGCGCTGCCGACGACTGGTACAGCGGCCGCAGCACCTCTGGTACACTGGACGCCTGGCGAGAGAGCAGGGGAGCGGGAGGAAGTGGGGAGAGGGAGGAGGTGGGGAGAGGGAGGAGGTGGGGAGAGGGAGGAGGTGGGGGTTTGGAAAGGGGTTACAGGTCCTACAGGAACGACTGGTAGAGCGGCCGCAGCACCTCTGGCACACTGGACGCCTGGCGAGCGCAAAGGGGGGGGAATGGGGAGGAGGTAAAGGGGGTTGGGGAAGGGAGGAGGTAAAGGGGGCCAAGGGAGGGGAAGAGGACTGGTACAGCGAAAGAAGCAGCACCTCAGGAACGCTGTACTAGTCCTCTTCAGCTTGGCGCAGGGGTCATCTTTGCGCTGTAAAATGGCTCTTCTTGGCTGCACTGCAGCACCTTCAAACGCTGGCATTTGGAGAGTGCGGGAAGAAAAAAGGGGGAGAGGTGTAGCGTAGGGTGCAGAGGTAGCGAGGTACGGAGGGAGGGGAGAGAGAAGCGGAGGGCACCTGCAGGTCGAGGTGGTCGACAGCAATGATGACGGAGCCTCCCCAGTCGCACTGGCGGATGAGGTAGCCGCTGGGGAGCATCTCGGCACAGCATAGTGAGAGGAGGGAGAGGGAGGGTAGCGGCACACCTGCAGGTCGAGGTGGTCAACAGCAATGATGACGGAGCCTCCCCCGTCGCACTGGCGGATGAGGTAGCCGCTGGGGAGCATCTCGGCTCGCACGAACGACGGCACAGCCGGCATGGACGCGCCCCCGTGCGCGTTGCTGAGCGACCGCTCGCAGATGACCACGCCGTCTTCTAGAAGAGAGGTGTAGCGTAAAGTGCAGAGGTCACGCGGAGGGGCCAACGTGGTTGGAGCGTACATCTGGAAAGGAAAAAGAGGGACAGGGAAGGGCAGAGGGGGGGGAGGGCAGAGGGGGGAGGAGGGCAGAGGGGGGCATAGTGTGCAGAGGTCACAAGGGGGGGCGAGGGCGGTTGGAGCGTACATCTGGAAAGGAAAAAGAGGGACAGGGAAGGGCAGAGGGGGGCACAGGGCAGGGGGCCAGGAAAGCAGTGGGGAAGGGGAGCAGATGAGCACAAACGACGGCACTGCCGGCATGGACGCGCCCCCATGCGCATTTCTCGGTGACCGCACCTGAAAATTCACCTGAGTCCACCTGGGCGTGTATATGAGCCTACCTGGGTGTAGACGAGCTCAACAGTGCCCCCATTGGGCGTGCGGAAGCCCCCCAGCACGTCGCAGCGGCGGCACTCCCTCAGCCACGCCACTCGGTCCTTTAGCAGCTCTGCTGCCTGCAAGGGGTATTGTGAGAGGGACAGGACGGATAGGGGAGAATGGAGATAGGAGGTCCGGATTGAGAGTCAGAGGCACGGCTCCCACAACACACGTCACAGCGGCGGCACTCCCTCCGCCACGCCACTCGGTCCTTTAGCAGCTCTGCTGCCTGCAAGGGTTGGGAGCGAGACAGGCGGATGAGAGCGGCGGATGAGAGGGGAAGGATGGACAGATAGTGCCTCGAGGCAAGGAACTTACACACACCACCCGAACCTTGAGGAGATCTGCTGCTTGGAGGGGATAGGACTGCTGGTTGAGTGCTGTCACTTTGTGTGTGACCCAGTGGATTAGAAACCGAACAGCCATATGTGGGCATGCGGGAGAGATTCACGATTTCCAGGGCTGCTTGAACAGGTAACACTCAAACTCACCTTGCTGGGCGGCAGCAGGACGAGGCCAGCCGCCCGAGCTGCAACACCGGGCCCTCCACATGCGATGGTGACCTTGCCTATGTAGCCGGCTCCGACCTGCCAGGGGGGGATGAATGAGGAAATCAGAGCAAAAGAGAGAAGTATTTAGACGTCTCAACCCTCCACATGCGATGGTGACCTTGCCTTTGTCTCACCTTGACGCCCGGCATCTCAACAAAGTCCATGGACGTGCCATAATAGGCCTTCAACATAGACATTACGAACACCACTTCCCCTCTTCCCGGCTCCTCCCCCTCTCTCACCATAATTTCCACCACCCCTCCCCCTCGTCTCACCTTGACGGCCGGCATCTCAACGAAGTCCATGGACGTGCCAGTGGCCTTCAGAGTATGCCATGCAGTGAAACAAGCTCCCCACCTCCCCGTTCCCCGCCCCCCCCCCCCCCACCCCCCTCGTCTCACCTTGACGCCCGGCATCTCGACGAAGTCCATGGACGTGCCAGTGGCCTTGGCCAGGAACTCCGACAGGATCTGCTCCGCTATGGGCAGCAGGCTGGAGGGCAGCGGGGGTGAAGGGGACACGGGGAGGGAGACAAGGCATGGGGGCAGGAGGAGAACGGGAACGGTCAGGGAAGTGGCAGGGGCATGAGACGTCCATGGGACGCGCCAGTGGCGTTGGCCATTGAGGCGCCTCACAATACACCTCAATGGCCATTGAGGAACTCGAGTTGACTCTTGAGTCGACTCAAAAGTGAACTCGGATAAAATTTGCTCCGCTATGGGCAGCAGGCTGGGGGGGTGAGGGGTAGAGGGAGACGGAGACGGGGGGGGGAAGGGCGTGGGGAGGTGGGGGAAGGGAGGAAGGGAGGGAGGAAGGGGAAAAACGGGGCACAAGGAATGGTGGCAGGGGAAGGGCAAGGAAGGGGCAGGTAATAGAGCAGGAGGCAAGAAGGAACCGGGTCACAAGTGGACGACGGGGTTGCAAGGAGATTTGCTTCTCTATGGTTGGCAGACTGGGCCGGGTAGGGGAGTGCAGAGAAATGGAGGCAGCGAGGAGGCACGGAGAAGGCAGGGAAGATGGATGGAGGAGGCAGGGAGGCAGGCGGGCAAGCAGGCGGGCAGGCAGAGAGGCAGAACATAAGAATCGGAGGGCAGGAGACGCACCCAGAGGCGCCAGGGTCGCCAGCAGGATTGGAGCCGGTGACTGCAGAGTCTGATGTCAGATTGGTGCCTACAAACCCCAGCCTTGGGAGCAACTGCTGCTGCTGCTGCTGCTCTGCTTGCTGTGTCTGCTGTTGCTGTTGCTGTTGCTGTTGCTGCTGCTGCTGTTGCTGTTGCTGTTGCTGTTGTTGCTGCTGCTGCTGCTGTGCCGCTCCCAGTTGCCGCTGCTTCAGCACGTCTAAAGCCGCTGCCCCTCCGCCAAACTCCCCTCCTACCCCTCCTACCCCTCCCACTCCTCCCACACCTCCCAACCCTCCTAGCGCAGCTGCTCGTAGCTGGGAAAAGATGTCTGGCTGACCCAGCGGTAGGCCGGGGTGCATTCCCGGGGGAAGAACCGGCTGATGTCAAGGGATGGGGGGAAATGAAAGGGGAATACAAGGAAAGGAGGCATGACACGAGATTGGGGAAACGATGTCTGGCGGGCCCAGGGGCAGGCCTGGGTGCATTCCTGGGGGGTGAACCGCCTGATGCCAAGGGGTGGGTGGGGGGAAAGGCAGGAAGGTGAGGGAAGGATGAGATAAAGGAAGGGGGGAATCAAACGAGCTGGGGATTGAGAGAGCAAGGCGAGGGGGGCGGGGAGTTGGGTGGGGGTAGTTTCGGGTTAAGAGCAGGTATGAGGGGAGAACGCGGAAGAGCTGAGCAAGGGAGGGCAGCCATGGAGCGGTTTTCGTGGCAAAAGTGCGGCTTCGAAAACAGCTGGAACGAACGCTTACAGCAGTGGGAATGCCGGGCACGGGCCCTCCCGCAGCAGCAGCAGCGGCAGCAGCAGCGCCGGGGAGCTTCATCGGATCCGCAGCAGCCGCAGCCGCAGCAGCAGCGGCGGCGGCTGCAGCTACAGACCCCGGCGACGGTCCGCCGAGCTGCTGCGACGCTTCCAGGCGTGCGACCTGCTGTCGCAGGAGCATGTTTTCGAGCGTGAGCTGCGAGATCTTGCGCGTGGAGAGCTCGTTCTCCTCCACGAGCAGCTTGTTGAGCGCCGAGAGCCGCGAGTTCATGCTCTGCAGCCGACTGTACTCCATCCGCTGCCGCTCGCGACATCTGGAGCGGGAGCGGGTTACAGGGTTGCGGGTTGCGAAAGGGAGAAAGTGTTACAGGACTTGACGGGGTTACGCATCGGGAAGGAGATTAAGCTGGTCGAGAGGTTTGCTTCGGCTTGCTTGCCGAACAGGGAACAATGTGGCGACTTTGAAGCTCTTGCTATCTGGAATTGCTCGGGTTCCGACATCGAAAGCGCACCGACTGACGCGTGTGAGAACGATTCGAAATTACATAGCTTTGTCTCATGTCAATTCCATGAAAGTAAGTAGACGCAACGAGGAAGAATGTTCTAAAAATGCAGCTCCGGTCTCGGCCTTTTCAACGAGGAGCTTGAAGCGGCTCAGGAGGCTCGAAAACGAGAATGCGGAGGCCACACGTGCTCGACCTGAAAAAACGCTAACGACGTCTTAAATTCCGCAGTAGATATTTAATACCTTCGGTTCTGGAACCAGACTTTGATCTGCTTCGGCTCGATGTTCGAGAGCACGGGATACTCTTTAATAAGCTGCGATCGCCGGACGGAGCTGGGTTTCGGACATTCCTTATAGACTTTCTCCAACACCTCCACCTGTTCGCTCGTGTATCTAACGTATTTTCCTCCCTCCGCGGGACCGTCATTGCCCGGATACTGATCTCCCTCCTCATCCTGCTCTCTCTCGTTCTTATCCTCGCCGCTTTCATGCGATTTCTCTTGCCCTTGCCCTGCTCCTCCCGCCGACGTCACCATTACGCTTTTATAACCCTCCTCCCACTCGTATCTCTTACGCTTTCCCTAATCTGCACTTTCCCTAACCGCTTTGACTAGGAAGGACAGGAGGGGGGGTTCCTCTGTTGATGCTGCTTGGACCAGTGGTGTTGAGAAAGTGAGAAAGTGGCGGTTCAGTGTTCAAGAAAATGATGATTCCAGCAGTCGCACTGAGTGGTTTGTTGCAGTTGTCCTGCTGGAGGGCTATCAGTGCCGTCGGCTAGGGTTTGTAGTTTTCCTCGCAGCGAGCACGGGCAAGGCAGAGCGATGATGAGGGAGGGAAAACAGGAGGAGAGGTATGATGATGATCCCCAGGAGCGCGCGGAAGATGATGATCATCTAGGCTCGGGACAAATGTGGCGCGAGCGCGTTTGCGGTGCAGACGCGGAAGCGGTGGTGCGGGGAATCTCAAGGGAGAGGGAGGCAAGCGGAGGGTGGCGGAAGAGAGGGTTAGGGAGATGATGACGATCCCAAGGGTCAGGGAGGCCACCAGAGCGGAGGCATGATGAGGCGAGGCTGCAGTATGATGAACCAAGGTTCGGAGAGAGGTCCGGCAGGAGTCAGGCCTTTGCTGTGACTGTTTTCCAAATGATGGAGGCTGATCACTGTTGGTCGGAAGTTGGAGTCCTTCAGGTTCGGCGGGAAAAGCCTCAGGCCGAGCCACGAATTGTGACCAATCGCCTGGTCAAATTTGGTTCGGTTTTATCCCTGCCACGGTTGTTGAACGTCGTGCTAAAACTGGCAACCAGTTTTCACCTGTCACTGCAAACTGCCAGGTTCGATTAGAAACCTAATGTGCGTATATCAATTGTGATAGGTTTTGTGCGTAGTAGCTAGTTGCAATGCATAGCAATATAGAAAAGCTTCACTATCGGGCTTCTTTCCCTGGCTCTGCTTTTCCTTTTCCTATTTTGAAACTAAATGACCCCAATGTTGCCAAAGTTTCAGTTTTCAATTGTTAGCACCACTGACAGCTGCCTTCTTCCCAGTGACTTGGCTATTCACCGCATCCGCAATTTCACACACCGCTGCCACCATCGCAATCGGCTCATTCAGGCGGTTGATGGCAGACCCAACACCCTGCAGGAAGTAGCATAGGGAATCATGGTTTGTGGTTTAGAGGCATGAGTTTTTTTGTAGATAAGGGAGCGACGCAAAGCGAAAGAAAACAAGAAAAACACACACACAAATAATACGGGAAGCAGACATACCACTCCAGAGGCACCAGCAGCGAAGGCAAGAGGAACAGTAACAGCGCTGAGGCCAGAGGCACACATGACTGGAATGGTGACAGCACGGGCAATAGAGTAGGTAGCTGCGATTGTGGGGGTGGCCTGGAGGGGGAGAGAGGGGGAGGGGGGGAAGGGGAAGCACAGAGGCAGAAGAAGGGCAGATATTAGGGCTATGGCTGCTTTGGGAGGTGAGAGAGACTCTTTTCAGGACAGACACACATTCACGACATGGTGATGGCACGAGTACTGGATTAGGATGGTGGGGTTCGTTTGGTGGAGGGATGAAAAGAACAGAGGAGCAGCATGGAGCAAATGGCAAATGTTGACACGATAGAAATGGGAACCGTGGTGAAAACTCGGCGGTTGAGAAACGGCTTAATTAATCACCCACCTTCTCCACCAGCCCTTGAACGCCAGCAGAGGAAGCTGCTGAGCTGGTTCCGCCCTCAGTCTGGATGACGTCAGCGCCGCACTCTTGCAGAGCCTCCGCCAGAGCGACCTGGATGGAGCGACGAGGGGAGTAGAGAGGGACGAGAGGGGAGTGGGAGGGGGACGAGCAGGGAGTGGGAGGGGAGTATGACGCGAAAGGGAAGGGTGAGGGGAGGTGAGAGGGTGAGATGGCATGCCATAGGTCTGTCTGGGACAGAGGGTAGATGGAGGGCAGTTGACAGGTGATGGCAGCAGACAAGTATGAAGTGCGGGGGAAAATGCACATGATGATAAAGGTTTTAGAGGGGTTAAAGCGACGGGCAACTTTTGGCAGTGTTGGGTTCAGAAGTTTTTTTTTTGAACCAGGCTTGCCAGCGCGAAAGTGCTGGCTGGCGAAAACCAGGATTTCGTGCGGACACTTTCCATCCGCAGTAACAGTTCGCCAGGGTTCTGGGTTTTGGGTGGCAAATGTGCACCGTCGCTTTAAGGGATGGATAAATGGAAGGGTTGATTGGATGGGAGGAATTCGGGAAGATAGGGCTGGGACGAAGGGATGGGGGTAACTGGAAAAGGGCATGACTGAAAATGGGCATAGCGAATGTGGGGCCTGGCTAAAGAAGGGGAGATGGGATGGGTGGTTGGAATCTTGAGACGGGGAGAAACGGAGCAGGGAGTGAGCTGCACTGGACGAAGCAGAGGGTGCGACCCAGTGACCGCATTGCATGGAGAGGGAGGGAAGGAGGGGGCGATGAGAGGGATGGTTGGAAGGGCCAACGGGGAAAAAAGGGAGGAGGGAATCAGCAGCACCAAAAGTACCAGAATGTGGGCTACGGTGACTGAAAATGGATGGAGACGGAGGGAAGGAGGACGGGATGGGTGGGGTGGTTGGAAAGGTGCAGGCTGAGGGAGAAATTACCTGTTCGGGCAGAGGCAGAGTGTGGGGAACGGTGACGGAGAGGGCGATGGAGGGGAGCAGCTGGCGAGTGCGACGAGTCAAGTCAAGCACCTGCAGCGATGGCGACGAGAGGGACGAAAATCAGGATAACTGCGCCCACGCCCCGTATCATGCTACCAAGCGGCGTCTCCTTCTAACCGAAGGAAACGCTCTCCCTGCTCATGCTGTTCATCCATACCACTCCGTCGCTCTAGGCTCCTCTCGTCCCTCGCTCCTTATCCCTATTGCTTTGTTCCCCACCCAACTTTCGCTCCGGGATATGGCCTGCCTCCAGTTTCGTGATGCAACTCAAAACTCCTGACGAGACTTAATGGCACGTCTTGACGCGACAGTACAGGCCCGCTTCGGTGGCTCCGAGTCGCCTCATATCTGCATCCAGAGCTTTTTTCCCGCCAGTCCCCTTCACCTACACTGATGAGCCTTCAGCCACTCTTTTAAGTTCTCAGCCGCGCCCAGATCCGTTGGTTTATGTTGATTTTGTAGGGTTTTATCGACTCTGAGGCACAACCGTGCCTTATCTCCGTTGGATTTTGAGATACGAGCTCTTCGGCACAACCTAGCCTCCTCCGCAGTGAACTCGAATCTAGAGGCTTCTAAAAAGCCCGTGCCTTACTTCCGTTACTATTGAAAAGAAAAAGCTCTTTCGCACAGCCCCGCCTTACCTCCTCTGCGGTGAACTCCCGGCCGTCAGGGTAGAACGAATCGAAGTTGCCAATCTCGATCTGCCACGTGGAATCAAAGGGAGATGAAGAGATTAGATTGGAGCGAGGGGGAGAGAACCTCCAAGCGCACGAGTGAACAGGCTGGAGTGTGATTGCTTGCACTGCGGGATGACCACGTTCGCCCCGTGGCTTGATTGCCATATCATGTAATCTTTAAAACTCTACGCTGACTGACTCACCATGTGCGCGCCAGCAGCAACTGCCTCGACGAACTTCTCCGGCTCGACTGCCGACACGCAGATCTGATCGACCGCGCGAGGGAGGAGCATGGAAGGGAGAGAAGGGAGAGAGCAGAGGGAGGGAGGACCAGGGCAGGGAGAAGAACGACAAGGTGAGGGAGGAACAGGCCAGGGCGAAACCATATAGGGGTTGAGGGGAGAAGGAGGCGGATTTTGACAAACAGGGGAAATAAGAATACACACATACATACAGGGGTACATTCATGCCTGGAACGGCTCTCAGAGAGAGCGATGAGGGAGCGGGCAAGATTTTGTCAGGGAGAGACACTGACGCCGGAGGGCTTACAGGGAGAGAGGTGAGGGAGCGGGCGAGGCAAAAGATCGGCATCGCAGGCAATGACGTTAGAGTCGACTCAAAAGTAATCTCCTTACAGGGAGAGAGGCGAGGGAGCGGGCGAGGCGAACGAGATCTGCATCGCAGGCAATGTCGACTACCGTGGCCCCTCCCTGGCGAGTATTGGAAGGGGATGGATGCGGGAAAGACAGGGTCGTTAATCGACGAGGATGAACGGAGTGAGTAGATGCGGGGTGAGGGGAGAAGCACGCTGCAATAGAGATTTAGGATCCAGCCATGGAAAGCGCCGGGTGGAAGAGCGGATGAAACGGAGCGAAACAAATGTGAAATAGACGATGCA